CCCACATTCTGCTCATGCTCTTCTTCCTTGATGGTCCTAGGGTCCTCTGTTCCTAGACTATAAGATTAACTACTCCCCCATTTTTGTTACAAAACTTCTACCTTTCCTGTCGTAGCAGTCATAATTAGTCATGATAACAAACACACACTACTGAATCATAGGAATCGTATCCCCATCTTCTTTCACCAGACTCGTCTGGACAAGATGAAAACTACTAAGTGGGGAGGCTACCTTCCCCTGCACATTCTGACACTAAACTCCCTCTTGAAAACTTGTAAGCCAGTTACTTCATGCCTTTATAGGCCCTCCTCCTCCCCACCCAGCCCTTCCAGTTTAGGTAGCCAATGTTCACTATCAACCCTGTGTACAGAGAGGATAGGATTGATTCTTGATGTGAAGACTCCTTCACTTTCAGTTGGTATGTTGAGCTACTAAATCCATAAGTATAGGTCCAACTGTAACAGTTTACACTTGTTTCCTTTATCAAATTTTTTTTTTTTTTAATCTTCCTCTAGTCCAGTTCTGATCATCAAGCCATTGAAACTAGCAATCTAGCTATGGGTACTACCTGCAAGTCTGGGCATTTTTGTGCATCTCCCCTGACTTCCTATCAGCTGGATCCTTCACTCTCAGCTTTAGCCCTCCATGGCTGTGTCCTTGTCCAGAGGCTCAGGAATCTTACCATACTTCAGACCAACAAGGCCTTCCTCTTTTCTCTCTCACCCCCAGGTCACTAGGAGTCTATGGAATATGGTCAAACTCAGCCCATCTTCATTGCTGCCCTTCCCCCTCTTCTACTCACCAACAGACTAATGTGGTCACCAGCAAGCTTACATGCCTGCTTCTGTGTTCCCTTTGATTTTTAGTCTTGGACCATGGACTTGTTTTGATTTTTATTCATCAGTCATTAGGAATATGCAAATCAAAACCACAAGGAGACATCACCTCACCCCTGTCAGGAGGAAAATGATTGAAACAACTGAAAACAATAGGTGTGCCTGAGGTTGTGGAAAAATTGGAACAGTCATAAACTGATGGTGGGGATGTTACAGTCACTGTGGAAAACAGTTTGGCAGTTCTTCAAAATGTTGAACACAACTGCAAAATCATGTGGAGACCATGTCTGACTTCCCCTGGTTTTAAAAGGGGGAAGACAATCAAACTCAAAATCAGTCCATGACCGATTCCTATGAAGCAGAGGTCAGACACGCTTCTACCTTACAATCTTCTTTACACTATTCTGACACCAACCATCCCTCTCATAGCACTTTCTGCTTCATATCTGGGTTCAATAATTCATTGTAATGGCCACATAGAACGTGTAACAATACTCATAACTATACGGTTTATTAGGGAATTGAACAGGGTACAACTAAGGATCAAAGCCAACTCAGGACATAGCAGTTCTAGTCAGGAACACCTCTCGTCTGCCATATAGCAGACATAACTCACTCTTTTCTTTGACCTCTCAGTCATGCAGTGCCTTGGCCTCTGCCCTGCTTGGATAAGTGATACAAAGCTCTTTTAGTCAGTCTGTGAATGCCCAAAGGGCACAATCTACAAGTCAGTCTCCTGCTTTACTCAGTCCATAGGCCTAGAACCTGAAGGTGCTGTCTCTCCATGCCATGGTCTCTGCTGTTGCCATTTCTGTAGGTTGGAATCTCACGCTCCACTCAAGCTCTTCCTTCTTTATCGTGCTGGGATCTTCCATCTCTGCTTCTGAGATAGCACCATTTAAACCTACCAAGGAACACTAGTGGCGTAGTGGTTGCAAATTGGGCTGCTAACTTCAAAGCTGGCAGTTCAAAACTACCAGCAGTTCTTCGGGAGAAAGATGAGGCTTTCTGCTCCCATAAAGATTTACAGCCTTGGAAACCTTGTACAGGGTCACTATGAGTTGGAACCAACTCCACAGCACATAACCACCACCACCAATGTGCAAAACTAAGCAACCCCAGCCTTATACCTTATTTGCAATAGTCCCACCCTATCACTTGGTGGGAATTAAGACAATTTTGGATAGAAAAGCCGTATCAGGTAAATTCAAGGCACTACACAGCAATCCCAGTTCTAGGTATATACCTAGAAAAAACAAAGGCAGGGCTTCAAATAGAAACCTACCTATATACCAGTGTTTACTGTATCACTTTTCACAATAGTCAAATGGTGGAAACAACTTAAGTGTCCATAAACAGATAAACAAAATGTGGTATAAACACACAATGGAATATTACTCAACCATAAAGAGAAATAAAGTCTTGATGTATATTACAATATGGACAAACCTTGAAAATAAGCTGAGTAAAATAACTCACACTGGACAAATACTGCATAATCTGACATATGAAATACATGAATGAATAAATGAGAATTGATGATTTTACAAAATATTTTATTGAGCATCTTTAGTTGTTTTTTCTGTGCATGTGTGTGTGGGGGGGAGGGTGTTAATCAAGATATGCAGTACACTATTTTGCCAGAAGCTTATCTCTTCTTCAAAGCAATTTCCACTTCCTGATATTTTATATATTAGCTCTTTACTTATTATCTTTTTATTTATTCACTGTCTATCTTCCCTAACAGAATGTAGACTAATAAAAAAGGCACTTGTTTTGTTCACTGCTATATCCGCAATACCTAAATCAAAGATTAAAAATAATAGGTGTTCAATAAACAGTTGTTATCGAATGAATAGTGGTACATGCTCTAAAGAAATTAAAGCAAGTTAAGGGGATATAATGTGACAAAATAACCATCTCAAACATTTTACACACTTACCATATTTGACTGGGATTGCAATACCAGTCTTGCCTGTTTCTTCCTTTGCTTTCGGTAATAATTTTCAAACGTTTCCTCATTGCCCTAAAATAATATTAGCAGAAAAATATAAATGCACAAGCAAACACACATACACTGCTAAAGCTTTTTAACCCACAGGGGTGATTTTCATCTTCTAAATGAAATATAAATGCTGAATGACATTTCACCCTGAATGCCAACCACAAACTTTTGGCAAAACACTTCAAAAATTAATCTTGTTTGGTATCAGGACAATTAGCCTGACCAAAGTTAAGTTCAAACAACTTGGCATTTGTCCAACTTACCACTTAGGAAAGATAGACACCCAAGAACACCAAGGAATGCCAAGAATCTCAGTAAGAAAGGACCTCCCTCTATAGCCATGCCTTGAATTCAAACTTTAAGCCTCTAAAACGGTGAGAAAATTAATTCCTGTTCTTTAAAGTCACCCACTTGTAGAACTTCGGTTACAGCGGCACTAGGTAACTAAAACATGAGTTGGTATCAGAGTGGGGGTATTGCTCTAACAAATAACTAGAACATGGAAACAGCTTTGGAATTGAGTAATGAGAAGAGGCGGGAGGAATTTTCATGTGCTTGGTAATAAGAGTCTCTCTTGCTTTAAGGAGACTATTAATGACATTATGAACATTAAAGGGGATTCTGATGAGGACTCAGAAAGAACACAGCTATAGGGAAAACGTCTATCATCATGAACAGAACGTTTCTAAAAATGTGGATGCTAAATGTGCTTCTGAGACTTTAAAAGGATATGATTAACATGTTATACACTGGAGGGAAGGTAATACTTGTTATAAAATGGCAAAGAATTTGTCTGAATTATGTTCAAATGCTTTGGGGGAAGTATAACTTGTATGTGAATGCAATAGTTAGGGGCCTGTGTCAACTTGATTAGGCCAGGATTTTGAGTGGTTTCGTAGTTGAGATGTGCTGATTCCCATGGTGATGAGATCTATCTAATACAGGCATAGTTAACACTATGATGATTGACTATGAGCAGCTTATCAACTGATAGAATGCTTCCCTGGGATATGGCCTGCTCCCAATATAATGGACACACGGGGAAGGTTCTTCTTTCTCTTCCCCTGGGCACTTGGGATTCTACAATTAGAAGCCATTTCCTTGATATAAACTTCTCTTTTTACATAAATACATATATATGTTTCAGTGGGTTTTTTACTCTAGAAAGCTCAGCCCGCTGTGGGGGTGGTGGTGGTGACGTGCTGTGGAGTGGGTTCCAACTCACAGCAACCCTGCGTAGGGTTTCTGAGGCTGTAAATCTTTACGGGAGCAGAAAGCCTCATCTTTCTCCCACAGAACCGCTGCTAGTTTCGAACTGCCAACCTTAAGGTTAGCAGCCTGACTTGTAGCTACCAGAACTCCTTAAGCTCAGCTTTGGTCAGTGATAAACTTGAATCTATAGCTGAGGAAAGTTAAACAAGACCTTAAAGGGGTGACAAGAGTTCCACTTGTCATTTATAGTAAAATGTGAGTAGAAATAAACTGCAAAATGACACCAGACCTTGACAATGTGAAAAGTTCAATTGTAAAATCTAAACGAATGTCCACTAAAAGACACACTAAGGGTGTGTTATTGTTACTTGCCCTGGAGTCAGTCCTGACTCACAGTGACTCTGTATAGGGTTACAGAGGGGAGTAGCTGGTGGATTTGAACTGCCGACCTCGTGGTTAGCAGTCAAGTGCTTATCCTATACCAGTAGTTTTACAAAGTTTGCTAAAAATATTAGGCCTGTGACAGACGGATCTAATCAACTACTTCATCAAAAATTGTTTCAGACATCAACTGAAAAGGACAGAGACAAAATAAGGCTGCCTGGCCCTTGGAATCTGTAGGCAGGAAATGCCAGTAAAGTTACTACTTCAAACATCTATTGTCCTTCAAGACAAGAAATGGACCAGCCCAGGAACAGTTTGTTGTTGTTAGTTTCCATAGAGTTAGCTTCATCTCACAGCCACTCCATGCACAACAGAGATACTATAAAGTCCCTAAAATTGTTGCTGTGTTTGAGCCCACTGTTGTACTCACTGTGTCATGGTTCTATCTCATTGAGGGGTCTTCTTTCTTGATGTCGGCCTTCTACTTTACCAAGCATGACGCCATTCTTCAGGGACTAGTTCCTCCTGGTAACATGCCTAAAGTACCTGTGACAAAGTCTCGCCATCCTTGTTTCTGTACAATCTGACTGTACTTCTTACACCACAGATTTGTTCTGGCAGTCCACTTTCAATACTATTCACCAACACCGTAATTCAAAGGCATAAATTCTTTCCTGGTCTTCCTTCCTAGTCATTGTCCAGCTTTTGCATGCATATGATGTGCTTGTAAATACAATGACTTGGGGCAGATGCACACCTCATTCCTTCTTTCTTTATTCAATACACCCTTATTGAATATAAACAGTGTGCTGGGGTACTGGTAAGTTGCTGTAAGATGAGCACTGGACTGCTAACCATAATGCTGGCAGTTCAAAACCCACCAGCTGCTCCTTGGAAACCCTATATAGGGTCGCTATGAGTTGGAACCAACTCACCGGCACTGAGCAATGACAAAAACAAATAACTGTATGATAGCCACTGTTCTAAGTACTGGGGGCAACAGAAAATGCAAGTTCATATGAGCTCATTATGGAACGTGTTTACCCTCTTTTATATTGTAATTGTTTTGATCATAGACTGACCTCCCAGATTCTGTACATTTGTTCTTACAGTTTTGTTCTGTTCTCAATTCTTCCTTCTGTTGATTTAGTTCCGTGAGGTCCTGCCACATATGTCAATCTCTGGTTGTTGTCTGTTCTTGTTGGTTCTCAGTCCACAGAACTCCCTTTAGGATGTTTTGTAGCGCAAGGTTGGCTTTGGTAAAATCCCTTAGCTTCTGTTTATCTTGGAATGTTTCGATGACACTGTCGTATTTGATTGATCACTTGGCTGAATAAAGGATTCTTGTTTGGCAGTGGTTTTCTTTCACAGTTTTATATGTGTCTCTCCATTGCCTTCTTGCTTGCATGGTTTTTGCTGAGAGATCCAATCTTAATCTGACTTGCTTGCCTTTGTATGTAACACTCCTCTTTTGCCTAGTTGCTTTCAAGAGTTTCTCCTTATCTTTGATTCTGGAGCACCTGATTATACGTCTCAGTGATTTTCTTTTGGGTCTATCCTTCCTGGGGTTCGTTGAGCTTCTTGAATGTTTATCTTTTCACTTTTCAGGATGTTAGAGAAATTTTCTTCCAGCAGGTCTTCAACTATTTCCTCTGTGGACTTGTGTGATTCTTCTTGTTCTGGAATGCCGATAATTCTTAAGTTGTTCCTCTTCATGTTATCCAACATGAATCTCAGACTTCTTCAGATTTTTTTTTATCATTTTTTTGTGTTTGTTCTTTTATCTTTGTGGTATTGAGAGATTTATCTTCCAGCTCACTGGTTCTGCCTTCTATCTCTTCTATTCTACTCCTTTGCCCTTTCAGTGTATTGTCTATTTCTGATATTCTATTATTGATCATTTGGACCTCTTTCTGTAGGTTTTGAATTGTTTCCAATGCTGTATCTATCTGATTTGATTGTTCCTGTAGCGCTTTCCTGACTTCTTCCTTATTTTCCTCAACTGCACTATAAAGTGTTTTGAAACATTTTATGATCATTTTTCTGAATTCCTTCTCAGGTATTTCCAAGGCCTGTCCTCCTTCCAGAATTTAGTCCAGGTATACCTCTAGGTCATTTGTCTCAGGCAATTTTATTGCTGATATGGTCATCTGCTTTTGCTTCTTGGACATGTTTAGTGTTTATCTGTGGCCTTAATACTTAATTTAATATGTGTTTTGGTATTTTTTATGCTTTCTGATTGCCTCCAGGTGAATGGGATCAGGATGTGGGCTTCCCTTTTCACTCTTCTTATTGCTTAACTCAGAGTACTTTCACAGGTGTTGTCTGCCTCCCTGATGTATGGTAATTGGTAATGGTTCTTTCCTGGATTTTGGTGTTATATAGAGTGTGATTGTAGCTTGACTCAATGGCAGCAGATGCTGTCTCTTCTTGGGTAATATAGGGAGAGAAAGAATCCCCCAAAGGTGGAAGGGGAGCATAAAACAGCAACAGCAAAAAAAAAAACAAGAAAAAAAACATCAAAACAACAACAAAAACTAGATTGGATACTGTAGTCTATAATCGCAGAAAAGGGAAGAAAAAAAATCTGTAGCCTAACATGAGTATGACTTTAATGTCCTCTTTCAGCTTCTTGCCTTCAAAGCTGTCTGATAGATTTCAAGATGCCACTGTTGGTTGTTATGCTGTACCTCATGATTTAATTTAATTTTCAGCCTGTTTTGTTTTTAAATTCTCTTTCCGTCTCCACACTCCTTGTTCTGGCCTTTTCCATATTAAAAAACAAAACAAACAAACAAACAAAAAAAACCCAGTTCAGAGCCGGCTCTTGGGCTGAGTGTATCTGTGTGCATGCGTGGCAGAAGAACCCACCAGTGGTGGGGGCTGGGGGTGTCCACTCGTTCAGGGACCCCCTGTAGTCACCAGAATGGAGGTGTGTAAACAGTGGAAGGCCAATGAACAGATACCTAAAAAAAAAGAAAATCAGAACCAAGTAAAACCATAAAACTGACAAAATGTATTGTCCACCTTTGCTCCAAGGTTCCCACAGCATTTTTCTGTGGTGTGTCTTCTCCTCTGCTTGGTCTTACCATTTGGTTTTACCCAAGTTGTTGGCTCTGGGCCGCCAAACCCAGCAGATTTAAAAGTACGCGATTTCTTTCTTCTGCTACAAATTCTACTAGCTATAAGCCTTCAAACTTTTAAAAAATATTCCTACCTATGTGGTTCTGAGTTTTGGAGCTCTGCCCTGAATCTTCTTTGCCTGGTATTCTGTGGTATTGTTGATGGGGAACCTCACTGTACCCTGGCCACCATCAAGCCCTGCCTCTGCTTTTTAACATTTTAAAGAGATCTTTGCACCAGATTTACCCAATGCAATACATAATCTGATTTCCTCAATGGGACTCCCACGGGCATTGATGTGGATCCAAGTAAAATGAAATCACTGACAATTTCATTTTTTTCTCTGTTTATGTTGATAATACTTACTGTTCCAGTTGTGAGGATTTTTTTTTTTTTTTTTTATATTGAGGCATAAACCATATCGAAGGCTATATTAATCTTCATCAGAAAGTGCTTTAAGTCCTCTTCATAAGCAAGACTGAATCATCTGCATATCAGGTTTTTAATGAATCTTCTGCCAATTCTGATAATGCATTCTTCTTCACATAGTCCAGCTTCTTGGAGTATTTACTCAGCATATAAATTAAATAAATATGGTAAATGGGCACAACTCTAACACACATCATTCCTGATTTTAAATCAAATGGTATTCTGTTCCAAAGACTGCCCTTTGGTCCATGTACATGTTCTGTATAAGTAAATTTAAGTGTTCTGTAATTCCCATTCTTTGAAGCATTATCCATAATTTGTTATATCCACACAGTCAAATGCCTCTGCAAAGTCAATGTAACACTGGCATTCTCTGCTTTCAGTCAAGAGCTGTCTGATATCAACATTTATATCCCTGTTCTTCATCCTCATTGGAATCCAGACTGAATTTTTAGCAGTTTCCTGTTGATGTACTGCTACAACCATTTTTTAATTATCTTCAGCAAAATTTTATGCATATGTGATATTAATGACATCATTAGATAATTTCCACATTCTATTGGATCACCTTTCTTTGGAACAGACACAAATATGGATTTCTTCCAGTTGTTTGGTCAGGTAGCTGTCTTCCAAATTTCTTGGCACAGATGAGTGAACACCTTCAGCACTGCATATGTTTGTTGAAACTTTTCAATTGGCATTCTCAATTCCTGGAGCCTTGTTTTCCACCAATGCCTTCTTCAGTGCTTCATGGAATTTTTCCTTCAGTATCATCAGTTTTTGATTATATGTTACCTCCTGAAATGAATGAATGTTAACAAATTCCTTTTCATAGTGATTTGTGTATTTCTTCTCCCTTTTGATGTTCACTGTGTTTTTCCATATTTGTCCAAAGAATTTTTCAATATTACAACCCAAGGCTTGAATTTTTTCTTGAGTTCTTTCAGCTTGAGAAATGCAAAATACGTTCTTCCCTTCTGGTTTTCTAATTCCAGATCTTTGCACATTTCATTTTAATACTTTGTCTTCCCAAGTCATCCTTTGAAATCTTCTATTCAGTTCTTTTACTTCAGTTCTTCATTTTGCTTGAGCTATTCTATGTTCAGGAGCAAGTTTCCTTTGCAAGTTTCATTCTCTTCTGACATCTACTTTGGAATGGTTTAGATTTGAGTAAAATGTCAGAAGATGTACAATGGGATGAGGGCAGGCCTACCAGTTCCTAGGTTTCAAGGGGTAAAGCTAGTATCCCTTAACTTTCAAAGAATGGAGAGTGGGGCTGCCTTTCCAGGAAGTCAAGAGAATGGGGCCACTACCCAAAGTGGGGCAGGGCTGCTATGCCAATGGGCAAGGAGAACAGGGGTAAGGTCACTGCTCCAATGGACCAATTGAATGGAGCCACCCAAATTCAAAGGGCGGGGACCACCATTCCTGAGGTCCTGGAAACTGGAGTTGATGCCCAAGCTGAGGGACCTTCACTCAGATAAAGGACTTGAGAACAGAGGATTACTTTCAAGTCATAAGAGCTAATGAGATTTGCCATGCTGGGCTTTGAACTTGCTTGGTACCCACAACTCCTTTCCTTACATGTTTTTCTGTTTGGAATGAAGATGTCTTCCTTGAGTTTGTTCCATCATTGCACTTTGGAAGCAGAAGAGCTGTATTCTAGGTTTCACAGATCCATAGTTGGAAAAAAATATTGCCCCAAGATGAAACACACTCAGAGACTCATCCATATACTAGATTTAGCTGATTCAGAAGATGAGATTCTGGACTTAAGAGTTTATGCTAGAATGGATTAAGAGGTTTGGAGAAATGGCAAGAAAGCAAATGTGTTTTGAAATTAGAAAGATGAATTTTCAGGGACTAAAGGGTGTAATTTTATGGACTAAACTGTATCCCCCAAAGGCACAGAGGCAAGAAATGGAAAATGAACATATACTATTGTAAGGTTCTTAGTAGATTCTGATGAATTTTTTTTTTAAAGTTCACATCTTACACACAACAGATAGTCCACAAGTATTTATAGCATGAAGATTTACAACTTGCTGAGTTTATGGTCAGCCTTTTGAAAAACAGGCCTAAAATGCACAAACATACTTACCAAAACAGAATAAATGTGCAAACATCGATAAACAGGGGAGAAATCAACAAGATCTTGAACAGTTAAAACCTGAAAAATAAAACCAGTATTTCAAAACTACAGGTTAAACTACTAGTTCTTTATTGGAAAATGTAAAGCTAAATGTAGACTAGGAAATTGATGGACTTCATGTTACAACATTTATTCATTTATTCTGTGTATTCACAATATAAAAATATAATGCCTTTTTAACTTTGCTTTTTTATTTGTTCAGTAGTTTATTCTTAATATGTTTATCATCATTGCTGGCTATTTTAAGATAACCATATTATAAGGTAATTACATGCTGTTGTTGTTAAGTACTATGGAATCAATTCTGATTCACAGTGATAATTCATAGGGTTTTCAGAGAGCAGCTCGTTTCAAAGAGCAGCTCGTAGAACCACTGACATTATGGTTAGCAGTCCAGTGTTTATCCTACAGAGCCACACCAGGAGTCCTATATACGAGGGTAAGTAAAAAATTATCTGCACTCTGGTTATATTAAAATACCCATCTATGTCCACAGCTGATGACAACATTAAGCATTTCCTTCTGTCAAATATACACAAGTGACAGTGAATTATGTGGCAAATCATTGCAAATCAGCCATGGCTCTGCCTATGAAAGAATCCATGACAGACTTTGGTTTTGAAAAGTCTGTGCGAGATGGGTACCAAAACAACTCACAGACTACCATAAGCAGAAGCATTTGGACATCTGTAAACAAAATTTGGACTGATATGCAAAGAAAGGCAAAAATGTCTTTTAAATAAAAATTGTTACTGGTGATTAGACATAGATTCATCACTACAAACCTGAGAGTAAACGGCAGAGTGTGGAATGAAAACATCATCAATCACCAACTAAGAAAAAGTTCAAAAGTCAATTATCAGCTGGAAAATTGATGCTTACCGTTTTCTGGAATTCTCAAGTACTGGAACACTATCAGGAAAAAAGTTCAACAATCAACAGTGCTCATTACAGTGAGATGCTCACTGAAGAGACAAAACCTAAACTTCAGATTAAATGCAGAGGACTGCCATCCAAGGGCTTGTAATATTGCATGACAATGCACTTCCTCAGGCTTCTGCCCACACTGTTGACACTCTGCAAAAACTTCCTTTGAAATGTTAAAGTATCCTCCTCCCAACCGTCCTGATCTTGTTCCATTGCATCAGACTTTCACCTGTTTGGTCCCTGAAAGCAGTCCTTAAAGGACAAAGATTCACCTCTGATGAAGAAGTGAAGATAGTGGGGCGCTCATGGCTGGCAGCTCAGCCTAAAATATTTTAAAATAAGGAAATATGAAAGCTTGATGGTAGATGGATAAAGTGTTTTGAAAAGCAAGAGATTATATTGAAAAATGATGTATTTCTCTTTTCTAAAAGGATGAAAATAAATTCTACAGCCCAGTGCAGATAATTTTGACTCACTCTCATATCAGATTGTTGTTCAGCGCTGTCTAGTGGGTTTCAACTCATAGTGACCCAGCATAGGGTTTCCAAGAAGTAGCTGGTGAGTTTGAAGCGCTAGCCTTATGGTTCAAACGACCTTGTGCTGCTGCGCTTATTCTACAGCACCTCACCAGGACTCCATATACTAGATGTTGCTGTTATGTGCCGTCAAGTTGGTTCCAACACATAGCAACCCTGTATAGGGTTTCTGAGGAGTAACTGGTGAGCTTGAACCACTGACCTTGCAGTTCACACCAACTTTGTAGTCCAGCACATTTACCCATAGTGCCACACCAGAACTTCCCATATACTATATTGGTGTTATTGTTGTTATTAAGTGCCATCCAGTCAGTTCTGACTCATAGCAACCTTGTGTTGGGTTTACAAGGAGCGGCTGGTAAACTTGGACCACAAGGTAGGTTGCAGTCCACAACATTAACCCACAGTTCCATACTATAAGTGGCACTGTGGTTTCATGTGCTGGACTGCAAGGTCACTTTGAACCACAAGGTCAGCAGTTCAAGCACACCAGTCACTCATCGGAAACCCTATACAGGGTTGCTATGAGTCAGTACCAATTCAGTGGCACTTAACAACAACAACATACTATATTTGTTGTTAATGCTGTCGAGTCAGTTCCGACCCATAGCGAGCCTGTATAGGGTTTCCTAGGAGCAGCTGGTGAGCTTGAACATAGTATACAGACTACATATAATATGAAGGAACCCCAACGGTATTATAAGATGCTTATCTTATACTAAACTGTCAACCACAAGGTCAGCAGTCCAAAACCACAAGCCAATCCTTGGTAGAAAGGAGGCTTTCTGCTCCTGCAGAAATAGAGCCTCAGAAACCTACACAGGGTTGCTATGAGTCAGAACTGGCTCGACAGCACTTAACAAGAAGAACAAGAGAGGGGAGAGAGTGTCCATATATAACATGATAAGCAAGATTCTCAGAAAATTGCTATAGATAATTTGTTGTTAAGTGCTGTTGAGTAGGGTTTCCAGGGAGTAGCTGGTGGGTTTGAACTGCCAACTGTGTGGTCAGCAGTACAGTGTTTATCCTATACCACCACACCAGGACTCTTACAAACCTCATTATTATTTTTGGAAAACATGCTGGGTAGATTTACGCTTTATTTATAGATAAGGTCCCTTCTCTTAAGCAATTCATATGATTGATCATTACTTCACCAAATTAAAGGCACAATCATTATTATTTTATGGGCCACTAAGAAAGAAATAGGACTCCTAGTATGGCGCTGTAGGATTAGCACAGGACTGTGAACCATGTGGTTGGTAGTTCAAACCCATCAGCTACTTTATACAACACTACTACATGGCCATCAACTACTGTTTAGCACAGACACTTCAGTTAGTTACTAACTCCTATTCTATAATTGTAGATTTCTTTTTTTAGATTTCACAACAGTGAAAACACGAAAACTCTCAATTATCTCAGAAAACTCCTAGACCAACAAGAATGTATTAGAGGATCCCAATTTGAAAAACAATTCAGTGGGAGTTTATACAGATATTCTAGTTGATAAAAAAAATATGAAGGTTGCATGGAAAATAAAATATGTAAATAGAAAATTAACACATATTTTACAGACTACATATAATATGGAAGAGCCTTGGTGGCACTGAAGGAAAAGCACTAGACTGTCAACCACAACTGGAAAAACTGTATTGAGTGCATTCAAAGGACAAGACCCAAGGTAAATTCAACAGAATACTTCATGGAGAGAATAAGAGAAGTAATAAAACTACAAAATGTACTCATATAAACAGCATGAAAGAAATTTAATATTTAAGAGTAATTTCAAGGTTTCTAGACTATTAGGAGTCCTGCTAGCACTTGGCTGCAAACCAAAAGGCTGGCAATGTAAACCCACCTAGCAGTACCATGGGAGAAAGACCTAGCAATCTTCCCGTGAAGACTATAGCCTAGAAAACTCTACGGGGCCATTCTACTCTGTCACATGGGATTGCTGTAAGTCAAAATTGACTCAACAAATACCTAATAACCACAACATACTTATGAGGTATTTGTTGAGTCAATACTTGTGAGGAGTTAATTTTAAGAAATAAGTCTTAACTTCAATCATATTAGAATTACTTGTAGTATTTCACTATCAATTGAAAACAAAATGGTTAGCTATCCAGAATTAGTCCAAACGACATGACCAAACTTTCATGAAACTAAAATTTTACCACAGATAATTCAAATATAAAAAATAAGTGATGATAGTAAAAATTAGATTTACACTTTTATTGCTAATTATGGTAAAACACTTAGATTCACTTAAGTATATATAAGTATATCTTATAAATATCATCTACAATATATCCGGTTTAGCTGTAAAGTTAGAGTCTAGTAGTTCACATGACTCTATTGTGCTAACAGTTCATTACAAACTGTTACGTAGACGTTTATGAAGACTGAGAGACACACAGATGTACACTGGTGGTGGTTATGTGCCATGGAGTTGGTTCCGACTCATAGTGACCCTGTACAGGGTTTCCGAGGCTGTAAATCTTTATGGGAACAGAAAGCCTCATCTTTCTCCTGCAGAACAACTGGTAGGTTAGAACTACTGACCTTGCGGTTCACAGCCCGATTCATAACCACTGCGCTACATTACAACCTAACAAATACAGAAAGAAATTCCATTACCTCTTCTTCATTCTCATCCTCTTCCTCAATTTCATTCCTTTCTTCTGGAATTCTATCACTGTTTATATACATATTCTTCCCAAATCTTACATTATTTTGTCTTTGCAGAGCCACGCTGAAAGTCTTCTGCTGTTGTGCCTATTTTGAAAGATGATAAATTCTGATTATTTTTAAATGTATTAGGATCAAAATTGGTTCCAAATTGGTTCATAATACTTTCTCCTTTGTTTTAGTAGGATCTACAATGATGCCTCATTTTTAATTCATGATTCTGCTTCCTTTTTAAAACAATATTCTATAAGTTTTTCAATTTTATTTGAGAAAACTAAGAACCATCTTTTGACTTTGCTGATTCTCCTTACTATATTTGTTTTCTATTTATTAGATTGAATTATGTTCTTATTTGTTTCCTTCCTTTTACTTTCTCTGGGTTTAATTGGCTGTTGTTTCTCTGGTTTCTTGAGATGGATGCTTAGGTTATTAATTTCAGCCTTTATTTTCTAATTGTTACATTTAAGGCTGTAATGCACCTTTAAACACAACTTTTGTTGCATCCTACATACCTTGACGTGTCATATTTTCATTATAATAGTTCAAAATGTCTTCTGACCTTGTTTGGTTTCTTCATTGACCCACAGGTCATTTACAAGTTTATTTTTTAATTTCCAAACATATAGGGGTTTTCTAATTATCCACTTGTTGCTAATTTCTATAATAATTCTAGTGTGGTCAGAAAATATACACGTACTGTTTAAATCCTGTTTAAATTCAGTGACACTTGCTTTATGAATTTTGGTAAGTGTTCAATGTGAACTTGAAAAGAATGTATACTCTGAAATCATGAGATATAATTTTACATACATATTAGGTCAGAATTAATAAGAGAAATAAACAACTTGACTATCTATTATAACGGGAGATTTTAATACACTTCTCTGTGTAACTAACAGAGCCAGCACACAAAACCTCAGGATGGCTATAGGCTTTTAAAATCATATAATTAATTCTTGTAATCTTTACTTTCCTTATTTTGAGACTATTCTATTATATGCAAATAAACACATTGTTTGTACTTTCTAGCAATGTGTGTTGTCCAGAAGCTATTCCCTTCCAGCAGGAAATTCTTACAAATCTCAAACTATAGGACCCCAGATTTGGCGGACTACATAATTGGGAAGAGTCCAAAATTTGTCCATGAAAAACAGCCAAACAATAAATTTAAAAGTGTAATGTAATTTGTGACATTTTAACTTTTGTTTACATTCCCATACTCAAAAACCTTACCAAGTGGTTACGTTTTTTACTCCCATTGCATGCACAGAATTCCTTGACCAAAAGTAGGTAAAAGTACTGAAAAGGCTGTGATACTGAAGAGCATCTCTGCACTCTTTCCAACGGGAAAGAGCACTTCCTGATGTGAGGCAATGAGTCAAGCGTTACCATGAGAAGAAATGGGAGGTAGTAAATATGTGACTTTCCTGACTCCCGTTTTATAAAATGTGTCAGGCCTGTTCATATCTAAAAGGGTCAACAACGGGGAGGAAAGGTGATTGCAGGTATGCGTGGTAACGTGGAGGGGAAGCAAAAAAAGAGGACGATCCCCAACAAGATAGACTGGCACAGTGGCAGCAGCAGTGGGCTCAGGCATAACGACGATTGTGAAGATGGTGCAGGACCCAGCGGTGCTTCGTTCTGTGGTGCGTAGTGGTGGTGCTATGAGTCTGAACCAACTGGATGGTACCTAACAACAACAGGGCTGAGCAGAGTGGCCACGACCCAGCATCTCCTCTAGATACCAACCTGTGGGGCACGCACCAGTGACAGCTGTGGGAGCTACAGCTCAGGAGCTGCAAGCCATGCCTGGCTGAGCCTGGCTGCTGAGGGGCCACAAACTTGATGCAGGCCCTACATTGTAGAGGCCTTCCAAGCAAGTCCCTCCTCTTCACCCCAGGGACTTACAGGCAATGACAATACAACAGACTTTCTGATATGCATATCTATACTTCAGACATCTGCACTTTCTTCTATCTTAACAGTGAGGTAACATTCTATCTTTTCGTCCTGCTTAGTTCTTCATTCCTGGAACTTCCCTAACTTCCGAAACTTCTCTGGGATAGCCATAGGCTCTGGATTCAGAATCTCTGGATTCTTTTGCTGAACTTTGGCTTGGTTCTTATTCTCTTGCATCTTCTTAGTCTTTTATCTTTTCTAATATTCTACTCTAACCTACCAGCCGACAGGTCTACCACTTATACTCCTACTCTATCACCCACACATAACCATATTTTCAACAGTCCAATGGTCGAGAAAACGGCCAAGGTTAGCTGTGGTGCTGTACAATAAAGCGCTGGACCACATGGTTGGTTTGAACTACAAGGTGGGTTTGAACTACAAGTTTGAACTACAAGGTTGGTTTGAACTACAAGGTTTCCAGCCACTCCTTGGAAATCCTATACAGAGTGGCTGTGAGTCTAAATGACTCAATGGCACGTAACAACTTAACAACAAAAAGCTTCCACAGAAAAGAACAGCTAAAGAGGTAGTGAATGTGGGTGGCACAATTATGTGCTTGAACTACCAGCCAAAAGATGGTGGCTTGAATCCAACCAGAGGCACCTTGGAAGTAAGGTCTGTGATCTGCTTCCAAAAGGTCACAGTCTTAAAAACCCTATTGTTCTTGTTGTTGTTAAGTGCCATCAAGTAGATTCCAACCCATAGCGA